CTTCAAGAATGATTAGAATGCTCAAATGGACAAAAATAGAGTTGTATGCATTAGGAGGGACTGAGAGTTATGAAACAGAAACAGCAGTGAAACACAAACTGGGCGATACGGTAGAAAAGCGAGTTTGATATCCTGGAAATCAAAAATAGTCATTAAGCTAACTCAGTGGCAAAAAGCATCCCCTCAGATGTGACTTATGGGAGTGTCAGATTGGAAACATGAAGAGACAGGACAGGGGTCTCTCTGGGGACTAGGACGTGGGCAGGAGCAGGAGCCAGAGAGGGACAGGGCACAAATGTTCTCAACTGGGCCCCAGTGCTTTGATTTTCAGACCGTACATGTGTATCACCTTAGTAGAAATTAAAATACAAACTGTAAAAGACTGCTTGCAAGATGAAGCATTAATGAGGGGCTATCTGAAGGCTATGCAATCCTGCCTTTCCTCTGCATAGCCTCAATTTTATTCTTGACATGAAGCAAACGATCAGAGAGAGAACCAAGATTACATAATTTTTGCCTTTCTTGTCAGTTGTTTTGTTAAGTTACAACTGAAATTATGTCAAGGAGCCATGTTGAGGAGTATTATAAAAATCAGCGATCTGAATCCTTGCAGAAAGCCTGGCAAGAATGTTGACCATTCAATCTCAGGGGGACCCTTCGTGAGCGCCTTGGGCCTCGGGGTAGAAAAACTGGGAAACATGAGTGTGTCCAGTCTTACAGCTACTGTACACTTTGAATTAGCCTTTTAGCTTTGGCTGCTGGGAAATGTAGAGTAAATTTGTGATTTATTTCTTGTCACTGTACAAGATCATATGATGAGTTCTGGGTACTAACCTGCATTCATCTTATTTCTTGTCATTCCTATTTCACAAAACAAAATAAAATTCATTGTTCTGTATTGCACACACACATGTATATACTTATATACACACACATATATATGTGTGTGTGTGTGTGTGTGTGTGTTACCTGCAAGCCACTTTAGAATCTTTTGAGTGGGATAAAACACACTGTGGGAGAGGAGAGGGCAGGAAAGGGGAGGGGAGAGGAGAGGAAAAAAGGTGGGCTAGAGCTTGAAGTCACGGCTTTGGAAGATCCAGAACATCAGCTAAGAGTTTGAAGTTTGTCCTGAAGACCAAAGATAATGCTAAAAATAATTTAAAAATTCAGAGCCAAGCAATGACATAGAAACAGTGGTATTTCACAAAACTGCTCTAGAATAGTATACAAGATGAAAGGGAAGAAAGTGAGGGCCACCTTCAGTAATCTAGGAGCAAGGTGATAGGGCTGTGAGTGAATTGATGGACACTGTGTTTCAAAAGAAGGATCAAATATAACAGGCTTTAGGGAAGGAAAAGTGACATGGCAAGTAAATATAGAGTTTTTTTGCAAAAAAGCATGTTCTATTCACAAACATATGGAAACAATCAAGTCCCTTTGGTCTGTTCTGCTTCTCTTTCCTGGGATTCTGACTTGGGCAAGCCACAGGAGAGGCCAAGTCATTCCAAAACCTCGCTTAGAAGGTAAGTTTTATTTCTTCCAGAAATTAAGCTGCTGATGACTACAGATGACTCCACACATGCAAATTACACTATCTATTAAAAGGCCTCTTGCCTTCCTGAAACATGATATCATGCAAGTCCAGTAAAATGCAGATGTAGGAATGCAATAAATATTGCTTGGTGCAGAAATCTGTTGAGAGGAATTTTCTAGATTTTAAGAAAAGCAGAAAATAATCTTGAAAATTTAAATTTAAAAAATGGAGTAAATCTAATTTCAACTCAAATAATTTTGAATATATGATCTTTGGGGAATGCATCAAGTTTAATTTACCTCTGTACTATTTTTTCAAAGCAAATCACCAACATTGATTTCAGAAGTGATGTTTATAGCACTAAACAGAGCAAAATTCTCAGATATATAGAATCTTGAAAATATAACTGCTGGACTAATTGCAATCAAGTTTATATTCTCATCTAAATACATACCCTCCTCACTTCTACTAGGAAACATGAGATAATAGAGCTGGAAGGGGTCTTGAGACCAGCTTGTCTAATTCCCTTGTATTGCATACAGTTTTTGTCTTTCTCTGGCTGATGTATTTCAGTTAGCATAATGCCCTCACGGTCCACCTGTGCTATCACAGATGGCAAGATTTCCTTTTTTTTTAGGGCTGAATAATAGTCCATGATACATAGACAGAAACACCACATCTTCCTATCCATTCACCTGCTGATGGACACTTAGGTTGTTTCCATTGGCTATTGTGAATAGTGTTGCAGTGGACACAGGTGTAAAGATATCTTTCTGAGTGCTTTTGTTTCCTTAGGATAAATATCTGGAATTTGGATTGCTGGATCTTACCGTAGTTCTATCTTTAATTTTTTGAGGAACCTCCATACTGTTTTCCATGCTCACTGCACCAGCTGACATTCCCACCAACAGTGCAACTTTTCCCCATATCCTCATCAATACTTGTTATTTCTTGTCTTGTTGATTTTAGCCATTCTGACAAGTATGAGGTGATATATGATAGTGGTGTTGACTTATATTTCTCTGATGATTAGTGATGTTGAGCATCTTTTCAGATGCCTGTTGGTCATCTGTATGTCTTCTTCAGAAAAATATCTATTTAGATCCTTTGCCCATTTTTAAATCAGATTTCTTTTATGCTATTGAGTTGTCTGAGGGCCTTTTATTGCAGATGAAGGAACATATCAGAGAGGCTGAATGACTTGCCCAAGATCACTCAGCTTGTTAAGATACAGAATGGACTGAATCCAGCAGAGTAATCGAGTACCTTCTGGCTGGGCTACAGCATGCTCAGAGACTTGGTTAAACATTATTCCTGGTATGTGTGTGATGTTGTTTTTGGATGAGATTAACATTCAAATCAGTAAACTGAGTAAAGCAGATTGCCTTCCCCAGTGTGGGTGAGCCTCACAATCAGTGGAAGGCCTGAACGCATAGAGAGGATGACCCTACTACACGTAAGAAGGGGCTACTCAATGACTGCCTTTGAGCTGAGACATTTGTTTTCCAGCTTTTAGACTCAAACGGAAACACTGGTTCTTCTGGGTCTGACTGGTACTGTGCCACTAGCTCCCCTGAGTCTGCCATCTACCAACTGCAGATCTTGGGATGTCTCAGCATCCACAATTACATGAGCCAAATCCTTCTAATAAATCTCTCTCTCCCCACTCTCTTTCTCTCTACGCACACACACACATGCATGAGCATCCTGCTGGCTTTTTCTGGAGAAGTCTAATACAATATTAAACATTTAGCTCAAAGGAAGAAAGAAAATGGTCTCAGCAGATATGATTAGACACTGTAGATTGCCTGCCCAAAGCCATGCACAGCCTTCCTCTCGTTTGCCTCGAGTATAAAGGCTGAAAACCTAGAATGTAGTTTCCTCACCTCTGTTATAGCTCCAGGTGACCAGGTGACAGTTCCAAGCAGTAAGATGTAGATGGGAGTTCCTGGGAGGGCTTCCCTTTGTTCTCTGCCCTGTAGTGCCCCTTCCTCCCCACATGCAGGGCTGGACACACCGACTGGGGGCTGGGGGCATGGCCATCCTGGGACCACGAGGACAGAGGCATAGGCTCGGGATGGCCAAGGGGAAAGACAGAGGGTTTTGGGTCTGTGATGAGATCTGTGAGTAGCTGCTCCCTCCCACCTTGGACTCCCCCCGAATTCTTGAAACAAATAGGCCGAAGCCAGTTTTAGTTGGGTTATCTGTTATTTGTAGTCAAACTCTTTCCTAATACACTGTTCCAGCCAGATTTCAATGACATCAATAAACCAAAAATGAACATGACCCAATTTCAGTAAAATGTAAACACTTATACAGGAAATTTTTGTGGGGCTCCTGTATAGAAGACATGTAAGAGGCACCAAATTCAAAGGCCTTCCGATTCTCAACAACCAAAGATGCTGGTGGGAAGCTGGCTTGCAGCCTGCCATTCCAGATTACAGCCCAGGGAGAAATCCCAGGGGATCCCCATAATTCCTGGCAGCCCTGCTGGTGGCAAAAAGCTGACACTAAAGTGGACTGAATCTTAGGGAACTATTAGCAGTGGATCCAACTTCTTCCATTTAATTCCTTATTCCTAAATGTCCCCTTTAATTAAGAATCAATCATGTCACTGATACCTGCATCATTAGAATGTGCTGATGATCCTTTCTCATACAGTGAAACCTGTGACATCTCTAACCTTGATTGGCACCAGAAGTCACAGGTAGTGTGGTGGAAAAGAAGAGGCACTGGATTTAGTCAAAGATCTGAGTTTGAGACTTGGTTCTGTCACTTTTTTCTTCTTCCTATCCCAGAGACACATCTCTGAACCTTTCTGAGTTCTGCCTTCCAATTTATAAGAATTCCAACAAATGTAAAATACTCTACAGAAGTAAGAATTCATCAGTAATCTGATCGTGTGCAAACTAAAAGTAAATAGGATCGATGTGAGGTGAGTATATGAGTACAGGAGTAATATGGGAAAAGTCCATTCATTAACTTTATGGCATTTATTTTGGCTCTTCTTCCTTCTCAGAGAGTAAACGTTGCCAGGTAAGTGATCTCCATCTGATGAAGGGTCACAGCAAAACCTTACAGGACAAATTCTGAAGAAATAGAAAACCAGATACAACTTGGTGTGTTTATTGCTGAGCAATACCTTTTACCAATCCAGTAACTAAACTGTCCTGTTAGAAGCTCCAATAGCACTCTGGCCTGCAATATCCCTTTAATTACATATTTAATGCCTACACTCCCTCTAGACTCTAAGCTTCCTGATCCTTAACTGAGATTAAACCTTATTGCTTGGTGGGTGATTGAAGTTCCAAGAAATAAAATACAATGCATTATTTTACTTTATTTACCTTTGTTTCCTGTATTGAGGGTCATTTACTTTTAGATTAATGAAACAAAAGCAGAGTTCTCTGAAAGATCACTGGGACACTGTCTGCAAGATGCTCCAAGCATCTTCCACGCACCATACCTTGTCCTGGGTTTGACACCGGCCACAGTCGCATTCAAAGCAGTACTGGTCCCTCAGCTGCTTCTGACGTTCCACACTGGTCATCAGTATGTCCAGGTAGCAGATGGTGAGCTGTGGAGGCCAGAGAGGGAAGGGCCACATGGTGGGTGTGCTCATGCCTTTAACAAATGGTTATTACTACTGCTGATTATTAAGTAGAACATAGTTACTCTACAAACCAAAAAAGTGTACGATAGAAGATTCTTTACCCAAACAGTCACGTGTAAAAATCTTAATGTGTTACCTTCCAGTCTGGTAATGTGGTGAGCACATGTGCATTAATATAGTAATTTTAAAGAACTGGACTCATGACCGCTAGATACTCTTATGCCTTACTTCTTATTTAATAAATAGTAAAGTATCAGGAGCTATTGTATGTTTGGTATTACTAAGGTTTGGTAACAAATTCTATAGCCACTGGCAATCAGAGAAGCCAAATTAATCCTAGCACCCAACTGGGTGACAGATGATACAGCCACACTGCTCTTAACTCCTAATCAATTTCTATAGCTGCCTCATGGAATTTAAGGTCAACCACATTTGGCATCTTAGAAATTAGGAGACAGTTCTCTTACTCCTAACTACCTTTTTTTTTTTTTAAAAAGGAATAGTTTCTAAATAGGGAGAATTTAATGTCAGAGTACAATCACCAATGGAGGCTGCAAATTGACTTCCTTGGACCCTTTCAAATATAGTCACTGGGGAAGGTCATAGATGAGAGGGCACAATTCAGAGTCCTCAAGCTTCTCTTTGGCACTAAGATTCCACTTCCAGCCACAGGTCTTTAGGTAACACCAGTATGCTTAAACATTTCTCACTTGACTATCTCCGATGCACTGAAGGTCCAGTTCAAAATATACAGAATGGAGTCCCTGATTTTCCCCCCAACCTGTTCTGTCTCAGCCAGAGCCTCCCAATCTCAGCTGACAGTAATTCATCCTTTGTGTCATCCAAGCTGAAATCTCAGGATCATCCTTGCCTTCTCTCTTTCACACCCCTCATCCAACCCACTGGGAATTTCTGTGGGATTGACATTAATAACACATCCAGAACCAACCCCCTTTACCTTTCCCAATGCTACCGTCCTGGTGTGAGCCACCATCATCTCTTGCCTGTAAAATGCAAGTCTCCCTGCTTCTCCCCTCTGCCCCCTGCACTCAAAACCTGAGCCAGTGATTCACTGAAAATGTAAGCCACAGCAGACCCCTCCTCTGCTCCAAACACCAGCAGCTCCCCTTTTGCTTAAAGGCCAAGGCCTCACAATGGATTCCTGCAGTGCGACTCAACATATGGTAACACCCTGTGGGTTACTAGTCAGTGATGAAATGAGTAAGGAAGATTTACAAATGGTAGTTAAGATTTAGAAACTTTTATAGCAATTTGGTAAGGGAAATTTTAGGTGACTCCAATAACAAAACACTGGGCTTTTTACTTTATATGTTTTGTAAATTTCATTTTTTTTTCTAGTAATTCATTTTCATTAGATTTTACAAAAATATCAGTCTGTCTTGGATTAGGAGTGATACTACTACTACTAACAATAATAAACTGGCCCTCATCACAGGCAGTAAGAGCAGCAGTGGCTCCACAGACCCCAGCCTGGTTTCCTCTGGGGACTCATGTCCTCCTGCACCCTTCCCACTGCCCCAGCGGGCCAGCCTCCTCCTGTCTTCATGCCCTCCCACGCCCCCCATTTCCTCTGTGCCTCCTCCAGAATCTGCTACAGTGACCGTCCACCCCTCCTCTGAATTTCAATCAGACCTTAGTTCTCCCAGAGGTCTAACTGGGCCACCCTATTTAAAACAATGATCTGATTCCCACCGCATCCCAGGGCCCTACTTCCCTCACCCTGCTCTAGTGTTTCTTTTTCCGCAACATGTCAGCCCACAACTGTGTGAATTACTTCTTTATTCACTTGTACCTGTACAGGGTAATGACGGGGGTGTGTGCGGTGGAGAAGAGCGTGGGTTATCTGCTGAAGGAGATGACACAGACTCCCCTGGAGCAAAACCCTCCATGGACTTAAAATAACGCATCTCATGTCTACAGAGCATGATCTTACTTGTCTGAAAACCCGGTGGAGCAGAGAAGGCCATTCTCTGACAGAAGACAGCCTAAGGATGGCCTCACTGAAGCTGTGGAAAGGAGGCCTGGTCAGCCAGCCGGGCTGTCAGAGCCACCGCAGCCCTTGCCAGGGCGACAGAGGCAGCAGGCTGATCGGGCTGGCGGCTCTCCCTAAACACTTCACGTGCGAGGCAATGATATCGTGCTGCTCCACACACAGAAGCAAGGGTATCTGTGCTTAAGCAATGTAGACAATGACAGCATTAGACATCTGCTATGCAGTAGGCACTCACCTAGCAAGGCAGCAGGAGATAATGAAACCAGCAAAAGTCTGGGATCCCTCTGGGTTTGGCACCCACATCTCTCGATACTCCTTTCACAGTAACACAGCTGCTTCTCCTGCTCCTGGGGCTGCAGGAGGGACCAGTTTCTCAAGGAGCCACTGCAGCATCACCCCAGCAGAAATGCTCCAGCCCTACTGAGTGATGCACTGTGACAAGAGGGCCCCCTCAGCTGGGACTACAGCCACTTCTTAATCCCCTAAATCTTCCCTCTCTCTGTCCCCTCTTGGGTTAACTCTAGGACCCTAATTCTCAGTCCAGCCCATGTTAGCCAGCAGCCCCAGCTATCACACTGGATCAGCTGGTGGTGGCTATTGGGTGGTTACAAGGTGCCCACGTGAAGCCAACAGATCTAGGGCTTATGGCACTGGAGAAACGTGCTTGGCAAAGCCACAACTTTGTGACAAGGACTGAAACCCACAAGTGGTGATGACAGTCAGTGAATGGGCAGTAGGAGGCTACATATTTCATTTATCCCCAATAAACAGGCTCGTAGCACCTCCCTCACTATCTGGTAACTGCTGGTAACCATTACCCAGGCAAGCAATGGCTTTCCAACTGGCTTCCATCTTCTAAACTGCTTTGAGAGAGATCTCCCTACACTCGTTTCTGATCCTGTCATCTCTCTGCATGAAGACCTCAAGGGTTTCTCACTGCCTGTGGGCTACAGGCACACAGGATATGCCTCCCATCTGATCCTGTCTGCATTTCTAGTCTCAACACCTTCCCATCTTGCATCTGTCAGTTGTGTACATTGCTACACCTCTAAAACAGGGCACCCCTGTTTTACACACCTAATTTGCATTAGCTGGCTGATGCCCTTTCCTCTGCTCTCAGCTTATCCATAACTCTCCATGCTTCCGGCTTGACTCAGACACCCCTCTCCCAATGAAGTCTGCCCCACTAGCCACTTTGGGCCTCTTTCTTGACACTGCAATTCACAAAATACACTGTATCACAGCGGCAGGTCTCAGTGGCAAAAGCTTTTTTTCATAGTTCTTTTGGAAAAAAATATATATATAGATTACTAACTGGTAATGACAGCCAAATCATTTTATCAGCCAAAGATAAAAACCTTTATTAAAGAATCACTGACTCACCAGCTTTAATGGAGAATCTGCTCACTGAATGTAGGGCTCATTTAGCGGGAACATAGATATGAAACTTTGCCATTGATCAGTAGATACTTCAACAGCAGAGAACAAAATTGCATTGAAATATTAATGCCACTGACCATTTCTTTGCCATTTTAGTGCAGCTCTTATGGAAACTGCAGTAAAGAATTCCCAACATTAGAGTAATACTGTGAAATATTAGCTGGATATTAAATATGTTGCTTACTAGAGAATTTCAAGGCAAAATGAACCCCTTTTCTGTGAAGCCCATCTTTTCATTATGTGTGGATAAGAAGACCCAATTAAAATTGGCCTTTGTTTTCATTTCTGGAATTACATTGTCACAATTATAATTTTTTCTGCTAATACTGGCTTTGAACTGCAAAAGGGCTGAGAATCTCACTAAAGACAATCTTGTTATTAAGAGTGCCACTCTTCTCTTTGTCACACCCTCATAGTCAGTAAATTATCAAATCCTGCTCATTTTAGCTTCTAAATAGCATATTCTTCAGATCCTCCATCATGCTCCTCCCCAAGTTCCTCCTCACTTTAGGCACCGTCCTCACCTCTGGCCTGGATTACTGCACCACGCTGATGTTCATTCTCCCAACCTTGCAGACACACAGAAAATCTTACCATGAGGCTCCTTTGCTTAAACCCTTCAGTGATGCCCCATTGTCTGCCCCCTGCTTCCACCAATATTTACTGAGTGTCTCCTGTACACCAGACACTGTGAGGGAGCCTTCAGATAAACAGAGTTCCTTCAGAAGGCACCTGTGAGATCGTCAGTCTGGTCCTGAATGTTCCCTCAACTGCTGGTCATATTTAATCCTTCAGTCCTTTGATGAGGACTGCTACCTGCTCCTTGAACTCACCAGCCTGTTTCTGGCCTGTGTCTTGCTCTAGAATGCTTTCCCATCTTAGCCAACTTTAGCTCTGTGGATCCTTCAAACGTCTAGGAGTCACTCTTGGGAAGCCTTCCTTGATGGCACCCAAACTCCGGCCCCTTACCACTGCATGGGTGCCCCTGCTCCGAACTCATGCAAACTCCTCCTTGTATCCCCAAGGCCCACTCCAGTACATGATACCCTGTACAGTCAGCATGACATGACCTTGTTAAATGACTTCAGAAGTAAGAAGTAAGTAAAGATGACTGAGAGAAGAAACGGATGGTCTCCACCTCCAAATGCTTTAGATCAAAATGGGAGGGATTTTGATGTGCTCAATTTATGCAAACCAAAGTTCCAACCCCCAGAGGGTGCAGGCAGCCAAAGGCATTGCTGGTGACGGCCACACCCTCTCCTAGCCAGGAATTCCCCCAAGGGTGGCCTGCACCATCCAGCCTTCTTCCTTGATCCAGGTTTTAGAAGACTGCCAGATGAGAATATGCATTTTCAAATATGGTTTAACAAAACCCTGAAGCAGCAGCCACCAGCAATCCAGCGTGAGCCATGACTTCGGCCAACTACAAACATCTCTCTGAAGGACGTGCTGGATGAGGAGACAAAAACCCAAATCCCAAACCCAACCCAGCAACTCAGCATTGCACTGAAAACTCTTCAATACCAAAGTGCTATAAATGGTGCTGGTGTGAACAGAAATGGTCCAAAAGTGGCCCAAAGGACAGCTATATGTGGAGAGAAACAAGGTGAGAAGCCTCCCCAAGGACTTCTGTTACTGAGGAACCCTTGGCAATTGTCCAGCTTGCCTGTCTGAAACGTTCCCATCTCACATGAGCAATGGCTGGTTTTCATGTTTGGTTCTTTCTGGGGTCCAAGGAACACACATCTGAGGGTTGGTGGTAGTTTCAAAATGGCTGGAGGATTCTACTCCACCTCCAGTTTTGTCTTTCACTAGCCTTATTCATTCCACCAACAAATACAGACTGAGGGTCTTCCGTATCCCAGGCACAGTGCAGCCTTCCCCCACAGAGCCTACATTCTGGTACTTAGATCCCAAACAGAACACATCACAACTGGGGTTGCCCTAATGGGCAATAAAGTCAAATCACAAAGCTGAAGCTGTGAAATTACCAAATTTCTATGTTTACTTTCTTGTCTGATTTAACTAAAGCCAATATTTGCACAATAAAAAGGAATTGCCCCTCTTAATCAACTTCAAAATGTCTTTTCTGACGGTGCTTCCGCGCCCCTCCCTCTGCAATCGAGGGGCCAGTTTTAAATGAGCAGGATGTATCTTAGCTGTTGGGCGTGGCCACGGGCATTAACTGACCAGGACTGCGGATACCAGCCTTCCTCAGAGATGCAGCAGTCCTACACAGGGAACAAACTCAGAGAGGAACACCGCTGGTCAAGTCAACGAAAACTCACTGAACGCTTCTGGCTGCAAGGCAAAGTGCTCAGTACTTAAGGAGACACAGAAGAGAAATGACTTCCTGTCCTCGTGAAACTCCTCGCTGGGTAGAGAAGCCACCAAAGGAGGCAGAAAGGGTGCTAAAGAAATATTAATAACAACTACAAAGGAGATCTCAGAGGGAAAGACCTTTCTTTAATTTGGAAATCAGAAAAAGCTCTGTGGAAGAGATGGTGTTTCAGAGGGCTGACATTAATACAGGTAGAAGGGCAGGCAGAGAGGGGGCGCCACCGAGCGAGAAAATCTCCTGCACTAAGACTTGGGTAATGGTCTTTTATTTTCTAGAAAAACAAAACCAAAAACCAACCTCAGATTCGGAGAACAGATTGGTGGTTGCCAGAGGTGGGGGTGGAGGGTGGGCAAAATGGTTGAAGGGGGTCCAAAGGGACAAACCTCCAGTTATGAGTGAGTCCTGGGGATGTGATCTACAGCATGGCGCCATGGTTACTGATACTATATTGCATACTTGAAAGCTGCTCAGAGATAAATCTTAAAAGTTCTCATCACACACACACACACAATTCTGTAACTGTTGGTGGGGACAGGTGTTAATTAGTCTTACTGTGGTGATCACTTCACAATATACACAAATACTGAATCATTTTCTTTGCACCTGAAACGAATAGAATGTTGCACATCAATTTTGCCTCAATAAAATACTTTTTTCTGAACATGATGGGATAAGCAAAACTTATGGGAGAACCCTCTCTTTGTTGAGAAGCTGCTCTGATAAGCACCCCTGGGGAAAATATCTGAGTCTGCAGGACCAGACGCTGAGCAGAAGGGTTCTGTGTGGGGTGAGAGAGAGGCCTGCTTGTGCCTCAGTGGTGGCGAGAGAAGGACATGGATCCAGAGGGAGAAGTACCAGAAGACACTGTGTTCTTTCAATTAAATGAAAAACCAACCAATGAAAACAACGGGCAGCCAAGCCTAGAGAATAAGATAGTAAGAACAGTTCTTTGTTGTTTCTGAAAATTCCAACCACTTGTAATGTTTTTTCTGTGTGGTCAAGTTGTTTTTTTAAATGAGCAAATCATCATCTCAACAAGAGCCACACTCAGCCTCCAAACTAATGGCTGAGAATGGACAGTGGTTCCCTTTCTTACTTGCGTTGAAGTCATACATGGCCCCAGAGGGAGAAATCTAAGTCCCCATACTGTTGACAGATATCCCCGCGTACTTAGTACATCTCTCCGAGAAGCTGGAAATTCAGTAGGTGGCTGCATAAGAGACAGCTTATTCTGCTGAAAACCAGTATGGGGGGAGTTTTATCAAAGCCAAAGCTCAGTCTCCATAAAATATGGCACCCTTGGGTTTAGGTTTTATTGGCTAAGTGCAGCATAAATGCAGTAAACGCTTATGACACTGTTTGCCTTGCAGTAAATATCTACTTGAGCAAACTGGAAGGCAGAAGAAAACTGGGTTCTACAGTGGTAGTGATTATGCAAACCCTGGCCGCTCAGGTTCCACAGCCCTGGGGCAGCTCATTGCAGCTGCCTCACAGGCCTCAGACTGCTGAGAAGGCTCCTCATCAAAAGAGACTGGCTTAGCAGCCTGCAAAACTGGAAGGGTCAAGGCCAATTCACTGCTGAAGGCTATGCTCTGGCCTCTTTTCCCTTCACATCTTTACTTAAACAATCACCCCAGATGCTGGTCGGTTTGTAAAGGCCCAGTGACAACTTGAAAGGGGAATACGTGTTTGCTTGGCAAGAAGGTAAAAATGAGTCACCTTTAAAATGCAATCAGTGGCCTTGGGAGTAGACAGCCTCTGGAACCTATTGTATCCCTCCCGGCCAGGGAAGGAGGGCACCTGTGGAGGTGGAAGGGGCTGCTGAGCTGCCATGCACACAAAACACACACACTCCATCACACATGCATCTGTCTCTCACACACAACAGGAATTGTTATCACCTAGAAAAACTATGATTAATTTAAAAAAGCCCACCTATAATCTGGGAGAAGTAATGATGGGTAAGTCGGCTGCTGCCTATCTCCTTCTTGGCAGAAGGAGAACAGAAAATTGTCCTCCAGGCACAGCTGGCTTTAGGGAAGGGCCACCTGAGAGGGAAGAGGAGGCCAGGTAGTGGGGAACAGGTTCCTTACCTCCTCTCCCGCCTCAATGTCACGGACCGCACGCAGCAGGAGGTGAGGACCATTGAACACAATCGAGCAGTTGGGGTCACAGCTGTGGTTGAGCAAAGACACACTGGAGGAAACAGTAAGAAGAAAGGGAGACCATTACTCCGCAGGCAGAGTCCAACATCTACATTTCATGACTCTAGTGGGCTCAAGGGGCGGGTTTGGGTGAGGCTGGGTGCACCGGGGATCGAGCATCCTGGGGGAGCCACCCACATGGCACCAGCTCACTTCATGTAAATGAAATGCTGCCCAGGACTGAGGCTAATTAGGGAAGTTGTTAATAAAAGCATTTCTGAACCCTTTATGCGGGTGGATGTGGGGAGGTAGCTCTCTCACTGATTCCAACCAACAAGGCACCCCAGCAGGAGGATGGGGGAGAAAACAGACTTGCAGAGCAGTAGCCTCTGAGAAGATGGACACGGCAGCAGGTTGCCCACTGGCCATCCCACCCTAGGTATCGCTTCTTGGGCTCCTTTGGAAGAACTGCCACCTCACCTAGATCAAAGAATAGTTAGGAACACCTGCTCACAAATGGATAAATCCTGTTACCTCGCTAACCAGATTGGCATGTTCTGGGTGTGCCTGGGCATTGTATTACTGGAGTGCTTTTGTTACCATCTGGGACAGGCAAGGGATTTAAGCTGCCACCAAATCTGATAATAATTAGAACAACTCTCAGTGAGCATTTACCACATAAAAGCATGTCCTTAGCACTGGTGCATGTTTATCAAATGTTATCACCACAATAATCTTATGAGGATCCCTTGCAGATGAAGAAAGGGGTATGTGGAAGTTAGGATACATACCCCAGGACACGTCCCTGAATGTGGGGACTGAATCTGAACCAGGAAGCCCGAACTCAGAGCCCATGCTCAGAACCACTGTGACTGCTTTCTGATCAATACCCACAGACCTGTGGTTTATAACACTTGTGAGAAATAAGAAAGGCAGCTGACTTCTCAGACTGAAGATTAATTATAAGGAAGACTACATTTGTATCTGGACATGGTTCTAAGGGTACGAAAACAAAATGAAGCTAGCAGTGACTCTGGGGTGCTTGTGAAGGGCATCTAGAACCTCAGTGAGGAAGGTCACCTCCGGGTAGTGGAGAGAATACTCAGAAGGCCGAAGCCCGAAATGTTCTCACCTCCTGGGACAACGGGGCTCAGAGTTTGCTGGGCCAAGAGACAGATGAACCCAGCTGGTGCAATTCAGTGAGTCTCGAGAAATAATCATGTGCTTCAGCCCAGAAGGGCAGGGTTAGGCAGTAACCAAATCCCATCCTGATGGTTTATTAGTGCCCACAACCCCCTACTTCTTACCCCAAAATTCTTAAGAACAAGACTTAGGTCTGAGGTCTGCCTCCAGAAATACCATCGCATACAATGTGGGCTTCTAAAATCGTTTTCTTTAAACTCAGCATTTTCCATTTTCTTGTAATTTATCATATGTTTCAAGCTTGGCCCTTTAACCAGCTGCTGTAATAGCCTTCCTAACCACCTCCAAAAGGCTGGGGAGCTGGGTGGGAATTAAAGTTGTTTCTTCCAGTTAATGAAATACCATCCACATACCTAGGATACAAGCCAACACCAACTTCCTGCGTCTCTGCATTGCAAATGGTGAAAGTGTTGCAGATCACCTGTGAGAACAAGGGGGAGACACTCAGGATGACCAGTCATCTATGAAAGCTCACAGGCAAGAGCACAAAAATTTTCAAAATAAAATTTAGAAGCCTTTGAAGAGTTGCTTTGGAAAGATCCAACCCCCGTGTGGACGTCCTTTCATCTGCAGAAGAACATATCAGGAACACACTTCCCTTAAATGCAGAAATATCAACACCTGTAAAAAAAACCCTCTGGCTTAAACCAGCACAAGGTCATAAATTTCAGTCTAATCCTCTCCCCCACAGTAATGCAGTTACACGGAATGTCCAAATTCAGCATACAAATTATTTATTGAGAACTAGACTTCCACTATGTTGGAGTTTTCACTCAAACTGCAAGCAGTTTCCACATGCCACTGTGCATCTGGTAACACCAGTCTGCCTTTCATTGCTCCAAAGAGTGAAGCGCATCCTGAGTGTGTCTGTGATCCAAGTTGAGGACAGACCACAATGAGCACAGGAAGGCTTTCGGTGGAACCACGGCATTTATTAGGCAACGGAACCCCACTGAGAGTGCAGCACAGCCTCATGTCCTACAGGGGGACGGGGCAAAAGGAATGAGAAAGCCACAATCACTGTACCCAGGGAACTGCAGACCCATGAAGGCCTCACAGATCATGGAAAGAGCCCTGGACTTGGTATCAGACACCTGGGTCCTGGCCACATGTCACTGCCTCAGGCAGCACAGGGGATAGAGCAGTGAAGAAAAAACCCCAAATTCCTGCCCTCATGGAGCTTAAGGTCTGGTGGGGGAGACAGTTAAAAACTCAATGATGGAAAAAATGTCACATGTGGATAAATGCTAAGGAAGAAATAAGGTAAAGGGACAGGAAAATGTGCTCAGGAAAGCTCTTTAGGATAAGGTGACATTTAATCAGAGACCTAAGGAACTGTGAAAATGAACCTGTGCCCATCTAGGTGACGAAGGTTCCTATCAGGAGAAATAGCAAGTGCAAAGGCCCTGAGGTGGGAAGATTCTTGGGCAGAGTAATGGCAAGAAGACTGGTGTGGCTGCACAGGTGGGAAGAACAGGAGGGGAAAGGCAGGAGGTCAGAGGGGTTAGCGAGATCCAACAGGGACTCTGCCATGTTTGGGTTTTACACTGAGACAGAAAGCTGAGGAGTGACTGGGTTGACTTCCATGTTGAAAGGCTCGCTCTGGCCGCGGTAGAGAATGGGATATGCAAAGACAAGGGCGGAAGGACAGGAAACAGGAGCCAGGGTGAGACATGACAGCTCAACGCCGGCAGCTAAGTGGGGAGAAGTCAGTGGTGCTGCCGGCAGGACTTCCTGACCACTGCTTATGGGGGACAAGGAGTCAAGGACAGTGTTCTGGGCCTGATCAAGAAGACTGAGGTGCCATTTATTAAGATGAGGGAGGCTGGAGAAGGCTGCAGAAGGAACAATCCCCCTTGGTTGAGGAGATTTGGGATGAAGTCTGGTGGTTCTGTTACCATTAATGTATGTTTGAAATGGCCTAGTAGATGTCCAAGCCAAGACTGAGAATGAGCAACAGGAGTTCAGGGGAGCAGAAAGGGCTGGAGATCCACATTTAGGATGAAACAGGACCAAAGCCCATTGAGAACAAAGTAGAGGTGGTCACTCTGAGTTGGGGTGGAGCAGCGATTACAAGTGGAGGCCGAGTCCTTGTCATGTTTCCACAAAGGAGGAAGCAGATTTTCTCTAAAGCAGGTTTATATGAGGGAATATGGAGTTTAAAAAAGCACACAGTCCTCTGAGACACTTCCACTGATTCAAATAGCCCTGATATGAAATCTGGTGTAACTGATTGTGATTTGACATTTTTCCTCTAAAGGTCTGATAAAACTGCATTTTCAAATCAGGAAATAAATTGGTGCACATACACGTAATTTAAACACATAGTAGTTAAATTGCATTAATGGCATCTGTTTCATATTAAGCTGCAATGGTATACTATCTATCCACATTTATGTATGGGAAGGATGGTAAAAACACAGGACAAAAGATCTTGTGTTTTCTTTTTGAAACTTTAAACATTTTTAAATGGGTATGAATTGTGGGGAAGGATATGAATTTTAATGCCTGTTTTGAAAGCATACTCAAGACATTACCTGAAGCAGTCCACCAATGAAAAACCATGTCAAACAGATCAATTTGCTAACTTCTGAGTCAAACCATAACTTAAAAGTTGTTTCTCAACTATGAAGCCAATTAAAGATTTTTCCAAAATAGGGTTTATTCTGATGGAATTCTGAAAAAGGAAGAGCTTACAAGGGGAAATGACAACTTGGCTGCCTCTTCCTCCAGGAAACTTTCCGTGATCCGTAAACTTAGCTGACTTTCACTTTTCTCTAGCAGCATTTACCACACCGGATCATTGTTTACCCACATACTTGACACCATACACATGAGATGGTAAAATGCTTAGAGGACAGTGATGGTGTTTCATTTACCACTGTACTCCTAGCACAACTCCTGGCGTGTGGCAGACAGTAACAAACATTTTTCTGATGTATGGATGGTTGCAGGATGTGGTCCTTAGCAATGCCAGAGCATCATTATCTAGAATAGGCTCAGTGAAGACACCAGAAACAAGTCATTGGTACCCTGAAGGTGTGGAAAAGGAAAGATGGATGTACTTCTGTTGTATGAAAAGGAGTAGAAGTTGATCTTGCATCTGTCATGCTCTGGCATCTAATTTGTATATGTCCCTGCTCACATTGCTCAGTCCATCCTTTTCCTCCACTCCAGCTCATCTTTTGTGTAATGCTCTTTGCCATTAGTCCAGTTGGTGGGAAGACAGTCTTATCCATCAGAAGAGCAAAGGACTTGCTGATTTCTACTTAAAATGCCAGGGGCCTGATACTTAGGGCAGTATTTGCAGAACAAATGAAAGAATGAATGAATGAATGAATGATGGCCCCCACATTTTCCTCCTCCCTTTCACTGTTGCATCTTTTCCTTTAATTCTTTCCTTCCTTCTCTCCCTTTCCCTGTTTTCACAATCATCAGTCTGTCATCCTTATCTCTCATTCTGCTCCACTCCACAGTGTAGGTAGCATGCTTTAAAGTTTAACTGAACAAATTTCAGGCAAGTTCCCCATTTGTATTATTCTGAGAGGTGTTTTAGACTAGTGTTCTGAGCTAGTGAAGAAAAAGTTTAACTTTTAACCTAGTCCCTCTTTTATTAAAAATATTTGCTCCATGCGGCAGATGTGAATTAGAAAAATGTTACAGGAAATATTGCTGATATTAATAACTGAGAGCAATAGTGGGTATGGGGTGCTCTTGTGCTTTTTCTTTCTAAATGAAAGAATTGAGTATATATGTCCATATATGCTCAACTGAAAAATTGAAAGGAATTGTTCTTTATATCAAGAAATAAAAGAATGGAAATAAAGCTGAGAATAAAAGTTTAAATATTTTTCAAAGTATTATCTTGTGTAAACAGTTTTCTTAAGAAATTACACAGGTTAAGTAATTAATGAATTAGTACTTCACACAGGATACATTTAGAAAAGCATTTTGATAAGATTATTCCAGTAAAAAAGTAATTAGTTTAAACATTTATAAGCTTGAGTATTATTTTTAAAATAGTTCTGTGACATGCAATTAAAACATACACTTAAATTATTTTATATGTACGTTTTGAATAAAGTTAAGTTGAAAAGTATAAAATTATTTTATATGTATGTATTAAATATCAAGTTATATTTACTCTTCATAATTTTTATTTTAAAATAATCAAAAGCCTTTATGACATAACTTTGGAGCCTTTCTAGATCATAAAGATCTAGTGGGCTAGTACAAGCAGCCAGCGAACCTCTGTATTTTATAAAAACAACTAAAGTAAAATTAGTAATATTCTATGAAGTAAATTCTTATGTCATTTGGTTCAGGTTGTGGGTCCAGAACCTGACATTTGTATTCTGGGGTTAAAAATTCCCCTGTAGCAATACCAAAACACAAAGTAAACACCTCAGGCTCTTATTATATATATATCTATTTAAATTTCATAATTTTTTTCTCAAATTTTCTCAACCAAAGCTTTTTATTGTAGCAGCAGATAAGTTAAGATACTTTGAGACACAAGGGAGTCACCAACACACTATTATCTTTTAACAGCAAAGTTGAACAGCCATAAGAAAACTTACAACCCATTCAGAACAGAGTAATTCTACACCACAGTCACTTCTCAGCCCCTACCCCCAACTGCTCACTTCTACAGAGAACTTGGCCTTGGATGCCCAGAGCATTAGCTGGCTTCTGGCTTCCTTTGAAGAATGCTTTCCATTCAAAAAATACAAATTTTAAAACACACTTAAATGAAAGAGAACTGTGTCTGAACACAGAGAGCAACCACTTTCCTCAAAGACCGTCTGCATCTCCTTTAAAATTTCTCTATTTAAAGCATTAAGTAGAATGTTCAAGACACAGAAATGTGACATGTAGTGGTTATTAATTAGAGGAACTAAAGGTAAATTTTCAAAAAGGAGTTTACTGCATTTGGTTTTATTAAGACTGTGAATAGAAGGAAAGGAAGTAGGAAGAATTGGCAGGTATGAGAAACAAAAGCAGAGGTTTTCAAACAAAATAATTATTCCTCCCTCCTCTCCTTAGAGCTAGTAATTCTCAAACTTTAGATGCATGGTAAATATTTCAGTCAGTGTATATTCTCTTCCCGTGGAATAAGACATTTGATTAAATACAAAATTACTTTTTCAGAATCTTTCTCAGAAACCTTACAGATTTAAATTTTTACCTCTGGATCCCTCCCAGTTGCATGGCAAATATTTGCCCATCTCTCATGACTCAAATTTGGCCTTTCCTAATATCCCACTTCCGCCTTTCGTCCCTCATTTACTATCCTTTTTGAGCCCTGAAAATGAAGGGTTTGCAGTCTCAAACCAGAACGATGGGAAGAGACCAGACTTGGGAGGGAGGTCAGCTTAGGAGTCAAGAGACCGCACTCTGCAAGTGACAGAGCCACAAATT